ATGAAGACGGGAGGGCAGTCATGGAGGGTGGACGTTTGGACGACGATGGGTGAAGCAGCAGCAACAGCAGCACTGCTTGACATGAGGGACGATGGGGACGAAGAAGATGCAGAAGGGCAGCCATGGAGGTGAGGGGGAAGGGGGGTGGTTTGGAGAAGATGAAGAGGAGAGTGGGGCAGGTGGTTTTAGGGTTTTCTTTTGGTTAGGGGATGAAAAATAGAAAAGGGGGGTTGGGGTTCATTTGGGTTATGGGGCGGACCGGGTCGGGTCGACCCGGTGGGGGTTTGGTTCTTTGGGCCTGTGGTTTAAAATTGAAGAAAAGGCCCAATCCGATTTTCTTCTTCTTCTTTTATTTCCATTGCTTCTTTTTTTTTTCTTAAAATAAAACTAAAATTCTAAAAATTCTAAATTAACCAATAGAACTAAATTAATTTATGAAAGTACTTAATAACTCTTAATAACAATTAAGACACAATTACATAACAATTAACGATAAAATCACACAATTTGGACACTAAATTCTAAAACTACAACGTACATTGTTTTTATGATTTTTGTTCTTGTAAAACAAACTTAATTGCTCCTAATTGTAGAATTAAATCCTAAATGCAAATGCGACATATTTTGTATTTTTTATTAATCTAATAAATAAACATGCACAGACAAATATAAATAATTATCCAAAAATGCCACGAAAATTCTCAAAATTGCACACAAAGGAAAGTTGTTTTATTTTGAATTTTTGGGAGTAGTTCTCATAGGGCAAAAATCACGTGCTCACATAGCCCACGGCTCAACAACATCGAGTACAACAAGAATAACAATAACACGAGGGTAATGCAAGTAAATCAACACAAGAATTATAACTATACAATGAAACGGAAGAATGAGCTCAATAATGAAAGACATAAAAGTAATAACGACTTCAAGTAAGAGTAGTTCGACAATAAGAGAGATAACATGTAACATCGACTTCAAATAAGGATAATCAATTATGGAAGGGATAACGTGTGACAATAAGTCCAATTAAGAATAATCAACTACGAAAGAGATAACATATAATAATAAAGAGGCAACAATTACAATTGAAGCATGTATGAGTATATTTTTGGAAACTAAATATAGGACCTGAACCAACAACTTCAAATAAGGCATATAACAATGAATTTAACAATGGAGGACATAAAATGATAGAGCAACTTCAATTTAGTGTGCATAATGACCCTAAGAATCTAAACCGGATAAATTTCCACATATAAATTCGTGTACTCACTCGTCACCTCGAGTACACGTCTTTTATATAGTTCAAATAGTGCAAACAAACTAATCCATGCGGGGTAGTTCCCTCACACAAAGTTAGGCAAAATATTTACCTCAAAAGCCCTCAATCAATACTCTAAAATAGCCTTTCCTTTATAATTCATCTACGCTCGGCTCAAATCTAACCAAAGTCTACTTAATAACATCAAATAATGCAAGAGAAATCAATTCCAATAAATAAAGCTATAATCTTTGCAAAATTTCACAAAAGTCAACCCCGGACTCACCTGGTCGAAACCGGGTCCAAGGGTAGATTCCGACTACTCATAACCCCACGAGTCTATAAATGTGTTTGTTTCAAAATCCGAGTCCAAATCGACTCCCAAAACTCAAATTCTCAATTTTCAAAAAATAGACAAAGTTTTACTTTGATTCTCACAAATTCGATGTTAAATCTCATATATAATTATGAAAAATAATTGGAAATTGATCAAAATTACTTACCCAATGATTGTAGATAAAACTTTCTCTCCAAAATCGCCTCCTACCGAATCTAGGTTTCAAAGATATGAAAATGAAACTAAAATCCCGTCCCTCAGCTCTTATGTCCAGTCACAAATGTGACCTGGGGTTCGCAAATGCGAACACCACAAATGCGAAGATAGATCGCAAATGTGACAATCATCACACCCTTGCTACAGACGCAAATGCGACATAAAGTTCGCAAATACAAACCTGGGACACTTCGCAAAAGCGACTACTTGGTCACAAAAGTGATCCCTCCCCAGCCCAGGTTTTTATCACAAATGCGATAAGGAGTTCGCAAATGCAAAATCTTTAGGCCACAATGCACTTCACAAAATCGAAGAAGAGCCCGCAAATGCGGGAGTCACAAATACGACATATTTCTTGCAAAAGCGAGATAAGAAACACCAGAAAAATCTGAACCTTCTATGAACTCTCTGTAACGTGTTCGGAACTCACCCGAGCCCTCGGGGCTCCACGCCAAATATTAACGTAAGTCTAAAAACATAACATAAACTCACTCGCGCGATTAGATTATCAAAATAACATCCGAAACCATGAATCAGACCTCCAAAACGCATGAAGTCAACATAAACTCAAGAACTTCTAAAAACACAACCGCGCGTCCAATTCCTATAAATCAACTCGGAATGACGCAAAACTTTGCAAAAAAATTCTAAATAACAAAATGGACCTATTCCAAGTCCTAAACGGAAATCCAGACACGATATCTATGAAGTCAACCTACGGTCAAACTTCTAAACCTCAAGTTGCTAATTTTTGGCAAAACAACATAAATCAGCCTACGGACCTCCAAATTTGATTCCAAACATACGCTCAAGTCCAAAATTATGATACTAGACTATCAGAACCATCAAAATATCGTTCCAAGGTCATTTTTATAAAAGTCAAACCTCAGTCAACATTTTAAACTTAAGCTTCCAAAGTGAGAATCACTCATCCAATTTTATCTCGAAACATCCAAAAATCAAATTCGACCATGCACACAAGTCATAATACACAATATGAAGCCATCAAGACATTAAACCACTAAACGAAATACTAAAGCTCAAAACGACCGATCGGGTCGTTACACTAGAAAATGCTTATTTGATAGATTTGAAAGTTGAAAGGCACAAGGAAATCAAAGGATACAAGCCCAATACTAGTTTATCTACTTGGAACAAAAGTGATAAAACCTGGAAGTATTCAAGCAATTGGGACGGATCTAAAGATGCCAAGCATGACCCCAAGTGTCAAGCAGATAAAAGCAAGCCAAAAGTAAAAATAAAAGAGACTTCCTAAACTTAAAACAAGTCTCCAAGTAATATGAGGTGCCTCAAATGTTAAGTATTTGGTCACTAAAAGTGGGATTGTCGAATAGGAGAGCCATTATTGCTATAAATGATGGAGGCTATAAGACAGGAGATAGTGATCAAGAAAGGAAGGCGAGTGAGATGAAGAAAGTGAAAGAGAGTTTGAAAAGTATGAGGATGATGAACCAATAAGGTACCTAGTTGTAAGAAAAGATTTGGCTATTTCAGAGGAAGATTAACATCAAATAGAGAATCTTTTTCATGCTAGATGTGAGATAATGAGAGACACTATTCCTTGGTCATTGATAATTGGAGTTATGCAAATATAGCAAGTTCTACCTTATTTGAGCAAATGAATTTTGCTACAAAGAAACACTCTTCACCCTATATGCTCTAATAGCTAAATAAATGTGGAGAGCTTAAAGTAATAAACAAGTGATGATTAAATTCAAGATAAGAAGATACAATAATGAAGTGTGGCATGACATTGTTCTACTGCAAGTTTGTTATTTATTTTTCAGTCGATCTCAGTAATATAATAGAGAAGCAAATAATGATGGTAGAACCAACAAGTACACACTTAAGAAGGATGACCAAAAGTATACTCCTCGTCCCTTAACACTCCTACAAGTAAGTGAAGACTATAAGAAAATGAGGGAGTTGAGAGAAAAGGTAAAAAGTGAACAAAAGAAAGAAAAGAGTGATGAGAAAGACAATTCAAAGAGAGGAAAAATGTGAGAAAGAGAGTGAGAAAATAGTAAGGATTCAATCTTTATGTGAGAAACGTGAAGAAGAGGAGATACCAAAAGTGAGCTACCTTACTAGCCACCATAAACCTCTAAGGAAAGTTGCTCATAAACTTTCTATCATTCTTATACGCATAAAGATTATTGTTTATTGACTAACAAACTTCTCTACACCTTACCTAGATCTCTTTCTTCTCTTTTACAAGATTTTGAAGATGGTTTCCAGGATGAGGTACCGAAGGAGTTTCCACTACTTAGAGAGATAGAGCATCAAATTGACTTCATATCCAACTCTCAACTTCCAAACCAAGTTGCTTATAGGGTAAATCCCGGAACAACAAAAGAGTTTTAAAATCAAGTGGAAGAGCTTCTAGAGATGAGATTTGTTCGTGAGAGTTTGAGCCTGTGTATCGGTCATACTTGCCAAAGAAAGATGAAAGTTGGAGAATTTGCATGGATTGTAGGGCCATTATCAAAATCCTGGTAAAGTATCGCTATCCACTTCCTAGGTTGGATGTTTTTTTAGATGAGTTAAGTGGTTCTCAATTTTTTTCAAAAATTGATTTGTGTAGTGGCTATTGCCAAACTAGGATGAAGTCCGGATATGAATAGAATATTCAAGTCTAAGTTGGTCTATATGAATGGTTGGTTATGCCATTTGATCTCTCCAATGCGTCAAGTACGTTTATGCAATTAATGAATCATGTGATGAAGCCCTTTATAGACAAGTTTATTGTTGTTTACTTCGATGATATCTTAGTGTATTCCAGGACACTTGATGAGCATATTTTGAGAACACATTTGAGATAGAATGTGATGCTAGTCAAGTAGGTATAGGAGCTGTATTTATGCAACAAAGGAAACTCAGAATATGTTAGTGAGAAATTTAGAAGAGCAAGCTTAAAGTACTCCAATTATGATATGGAGTTGTATGCTTTAATGAATTACCTTTGGCATATGGATTTTATAATTAAAACCGATCATGATGCTTTGAGGCATCTTAAGAGCCAAGGTAAATTGGGAATGAGACATGCTAAAATAGCTTGAATCCTTAGAGAAATTCCCTTGTGTGGTCCAATACAGGAAAGGTAACGAGAATGTTATAATGGTGTGCTTTCTAGAAGGCATGCATTGGTTAGTACTTTGTCTTGCAAGATGTTAGGAATTGAGTATTTAAAAGAGCCGTGTGTTAGTGATATTGACTTTGGAGAGATTTATGCGAAGTGTGGGACTTTCGAGGCTTGTACGAAAGTCAGGCTAGATGATGAGTATCTTGACAAGGAAGAGCTTAAGGAAAAGAGAAAGGAGGAAGCTCAACTTAGTGAAAATGAGAGGTTTTTCAAGGTTGAAGAATTTTTACTTAGAGAAGGCAAGCTTTGCGTGTCCAGTTCTTCCTGGAGAGAGTTGCTGGTTAGGGAGGCATATCGTGTCAATTTGATGAGATATTTTGGTATTCTTAAGGCTTTAGTCATTCTTGAAAAACACTTTTATTAGCCTAAGATGAAATGTGACATCGTGTTGAATGCAAACATGCAAAGTCTAAGTCTAATCCTTATGGTTTATACACCCTACTTCCCATCCCCCATGCACTTTGAATTGGCATTTCTATGAATTTTGTGATTGGTTTGTCTAGAACTAAAAAGGGCGAAGACAACATTTTTGTGGTAGTTGTTAGTTTTTCAAAGATGGCTCATTTCATTCCATGCCACAAAAGTGATAATGTTACTCAAGTTCTTGAATTATTTGTGAATCATGTGCTTAAATTGCATGAGATTCGTAGAACTATTGTGACTGATAAGGATCCCAAGTTCCTTTATTTTTTGAAAGGGATATGGAACAAGCTTGACACTAAATTGACTTTCTCTACTTCTTGTCACCTCAAGGTATATGGTCAAACCGAAGTGGCCAATAGGACCGTAGGTAACATGCTTAGGGTCATGGTTAATGGTAAACTTAGTTCTTGGAAGGAGTATTTGCCTTTATTTGAGTTTGCTTATAATCGCTCTTATCATTCTTCTATTGGCATGACTCTTTTTGGGTATGTTTATTGTTTTAACCCCTTACCGTTTAGGATCTAACTCTTTTATCTCAAGATGTTGTGAGTATAGATTCCAAGAAGAGAACCAAAGCCATGAAGAAGATCAATTAGAAGGATAGATTGCAACTTGAGAAAATAAGCAAGACGACAACTACAAAAGCCAAAAAGAGAAGAGAAAAAAATGGTATTTGAACCCAAAGATTGGGTTTGGATTCATTTGAGAAAGATAAAATTTCCTCAAAAGAGGAAGAACAAGCTTCTAACTAGGGGAGAAGGCCCCTATAAAGTCCTTGAGCGAATAAGTGACAATGCTTACAAGATAGATCTCCCTTGTGATCTACTTGCGCATGATATTTTAACTGTTAGTCTCCTTGTATTGTAGGTAATGTTGATACAACTTGAGGATGCATTTTTTTAATAGGGGAAGATGATATATTTGAGCTCGTACCTTCACCTTCAAGGCCTTTTACTCGTAGCCAAACGAAGGAGCTACAAGTTTGTGGATTACTTATGATGAAGTAGGAAGCTTCAATGGATCATTTGGATAAGCCCACAACATATTACACCATGCTTGAGTGGAAGGACAATCATGATAGATATATTGGAACCAAAGAAGAAAAAGTTGGAGAAGGCAACCCAAGTTCGTGCACTTTAACCGTGCAGCTGAATGAGTTCGTGCAGTTGGACATAATGAAAGGCAAAAAAGTAACTGGGACAAACATGGAGCCAAACTCCTAAGTGAAGCTGCCACTTTCTGCTATTTTAGGCCTAAGTATTTTTTAAGGGCCTATCTTAGGGATATTTTTGATAATACTTACTATTTTTTAGCCTTAGTATAAGTACTCTTGTCTCCCTTTGGGAAAGGGTTAACTAGCTTATGAAATCTCTCTTTTATCATGTATTTTCTTTTAAGCATTTACATTTCATTATTTATATTTGATTATTGTAATTTCAATTTCTAGTGATTATACTAATATTAGCGAATGAATTTCATGGTGAATCTCTTGATTGCTTTGTGACTTGCCTTCGGTTATGCAAGAGAATCAATCTCTCGAGGAGCCTAATAGTTTAGGTGCTTTATTTGATTGTTCTAGGGTACTTAAAATTCTTAATCTCTAATTGTTGCTAGTTCTTTATCAAATATTGTGGCTATCTTCTATCTTTTATTTCTTTGTTATTCCATATACTTGTTTTTGTATTGGATTCGTATAAGAAACATGTTCAAATGACGAAAATGAAAGGAAATAAGCATGGCTAGAGAGGAATAACTTTAAGTAGAAAGCTCGTGAGATGCTTCACCAAATGATCATAGAATTTAAAAAAATAAATAAAAACCCGACCATGTTACACAAAATTTCACTTTCCTTTATTATTTTATTTGAATTTTAATGATGAAATTTAATGCTTATCAGTTACTTTATATCAGCTAAGCCAAATGGGCTCATAGTTGTTTGGTGATAGTTACGACGCCATTTATTTTTTTAAAGATTAAGACGTCCGAATCTGAGTGCACATCTGCATATTAAGACGTGCATTAAGATTAAGATGTTTGAATTTGAATACATATCTTTATAAAATTTATCCTTTCTTATAGATTTTAATCATTTCGACATATTCAACTTAAGTAGTTGTGAAATAAAAATAATAAATACACTTAATAATTAAGATCTGAATGATAGAATTCAGACTTTAAAAATTAAAATACTTAAAGTCTGAAATCTGAATGATATTTAAACCATTATTAAATGCAAATATATAAAGTCATAGTGTCTTTTGATGATAATTAGTCAAAGTTGAACGACTTCTTGATTACGAAAAATAATTTAGTGAATTGTATGTAATAAATTAAAAGTTGAGTGATCATCAAATTACAATAATGCACATACCAGCTAAGCAACTACAAATATATCCAATTAGCATAAATCCAAATTAGTGAAATTACCTATGGCAGTGAAAGAACACATGCGTAACACCTGCTAGCTATTCCATCAACCATATGGTAGCATCTCTTTTTTTCCTCCCTTAGCATTCTCATCGTCTTCTTCCACAGTTCCACTGCCCCGGTCCCAAGAACACTGTCCTTTTTCTCTTCTGCATATACACTCCCATAAAATCAATCTCCTTTTCACCTGTAACTCACTCTCTATTCCCTTTCTACTACTCTCCCCATAGATAGATCCACCAAAATTCAAACCCTAAACCCCCAAAACGACACTGCCTGATTCAAATCCAAGCCACCAGAATTGCATCCTCGATCCAAGCTGGAGCAGTTGAAGACAATTGGTAGGGAGCTCGCAATGGGCTCCCAAGGCGGATTTGGACAGTCCAAAGAGTTTCTCGACCTAATCAAATCCATCGGCGAAGCCCGATCCAAAGCTGAAGAAGATCGAATCGTGATTAACGAGATCGAAACCCTTAAAAAACGAATCATCGAGCCTGATATACCTAAAAGGAAGATGAAAGAGTACATAATACGATTAGTGTACGTCGAGATGTTAGGCCACGATGCATCGTTTGGGTACATACATGCTGTGAAAATGACTCATGATGATAATTTGCATCTTAAACGTACTGGTTATTTAGCTGTGACGCTTTTTTTGAATGAGGATCATGACTTGATTATCTTGATTGTGAATACTATTCAGAAGGACTTGAAATCGGATAATTATTTGGTGGTTTGTGCCGCGTTGAATGCCGTTTGTAAGTTGATTAATGAGGAGACTATTCCAGCAGTGTTGCCACAGGTGGTGGAGTTGTTAGGGCATTCTAAAGAAGCTGTTAGGAAAAAGGCTGTTATGGCACTTCATCGGTTTTTTCAGAAATCGCCATCGTCCATTTGCCATCTTGTCTCCAATTTCAGAAAGGTGCATTCTTTTGCATATGTTTTGTGTTTATTAGTAATAGTTGAATTGGTTGTCGAGACTACATTGTCATGTTGTGCCTGTGTTGCATCCTTTTTGTGGCAAGGATGTGGGGTAAATGTATTATTGAGGTAATTAGATGCATTCCAACATAAGTTATGCAGAAATTAATGTTGTATTATTTAATGTGGGATAGAATGTCCTATAAGAATACATGTATTAGCAATATATGGGTAAGAGTACTTAAAGAATAAAGATGCCCTTGCAGTTATTAATTTAGTATGGTCTCATTTCCTTGCTTCTAAATTAATCCTACGGGAAAAAAATTATGAAAATTACTCGTGTTTGTTTTCAAGATTTGGAGGATGTAATAGGGCATGGCCTAATGAAAATTTATGTCCAAAATATTCATCCGTTCTACAGCCGAGGGTCTATCGGAAACAACCTGTTTCCAGGGTAGGGGTAAGGCTGCGTGCATCTTAGCCTCCCCAGACCCCACTTTCTGTTTTTGAGAATGGTGGTGTCCGGGCCAGTTTGTGCACATCTCGACTATGCCACCGGGTACCTACTACTTCCCACCAACATAAGTACCGCGTAACTCCGCCCATCAACGCTTAGGCAGATAGGAAGAAATTTGCTTTTCTAACACTTTCTGCTAACTGTACAGTGGAGAAAAATAGGATTTGTTGATTTTTATTGAACTTTTATTTCTAATGATTTTGTGAAGGTCCAGAGGATGTTAGTGACCTTAGTATGGTGTTATACAAAAAGGAAATGATTGAGGTGATGGGTAAAATTATGAGAAGAATGTAAGATATAAGTGATGTCATGGTAGATAATGAACTAAAGCTTGTGCACATTCAAAGGGATGTCGATGATATTTCCATCTGCATTAGAGAAAACGATCTCCTATGGTTTTAACTGATTCTATTTTATTTGGAATGATTATTTTGATTTGCAGAGGCTATGTGACAATGATCCTGGCGTAATGGGTGCTACACTTTGTCCTCTTTATGATCTTATTGCTGCAGATGTTAATTCTTATAAGGATTTGGTTGTCAGCTTTGTAAGCATTCTAAAACAAGTAGCGGAACGGAGGTTGCCCAAGAGTTATGATTATCATCAGATGCCTGCTCCATTCATTCAGGTATTTTAATCAAAGTTCTAGTTGCTCTCTTGCATGAGATGCACTTAAATTTTCTTTGTAAAAGGCTAAAGGCTGGAAAGATTGTATTTTTATGTGCCTTGTCTTGATTCAAATGTTCTCTAAATTCTGGAGTGGCCATTCAAGTCCATGCTACCATCTCACTTCTGAGGGCTGGACCTCTGATTTGGCTGAGGTTTGAATCCTTCCATCCAAAAAATATACTTTCTATGCAAAATATAGATTGCTTCTTTAATGATGTCATTGAGATAAAATTAGTAGATCCATAGAAGAGGAAGGTAGTTAACCTAGAAGAATTAATAGTTTCAAGAAGTCGATTATTCAATTGCATTCGAGGTATAGTTAGTGTTGTGAAGAGCGTGAAGCGAGGAAAAGCGACAACCCCCATTTCACGAGAAGCGAGAAGCGAAGCGCTCACTTTTTATAATGAAGCGGAATTTAATTTTTTTTAAAAAAAATAAATACTGCATAGACAACACATATAATTGTAAGTAAATGTTTAATACTTCAATTAAAAAACTAAAGAGTAGCATCGATTGGGCATAAATTTTGGGCAGAAACTGGAAAAATTGGGCAGAAATTCTCTGAAAAAAATTCGCCAGCATTTCGGCACTTTTTAGACGTTTAGAAAGAAAAAGAAGAAGAAGACTGAAAATCAAAAGTGCAGAAGCAGAACATATCTGTACTGTTGAAGAAGAAGAAGAACAACCCTAGATATGCTTTGAGATTATTTCAGAAATCAGAAGTTGATGAAGAAGAGAAGAAGAAATCGCTACTGTTTTTGAAGAAAAACCCTAGTCTCGTTGTTGTTGAAGAAGTCCAGACAGTGTTTATGGTTTAGAAACCTCGTTTTTAATAAAATAGGGCTTGGGTTAATTTTAAACATAGAAGCGGACTCTTCTAACGCTTCTTCTCGCTTCACCGCTTCTCGCTTTTTACAGAGAAACTGTCGCTTTTTCGTACCAGAGTCGCTTCTATTACCTGAAGCGCTGCCATTCACGCCTCGCTTCTCGCTTAAAGCGAGGAAGCGAGCGCTTTTTTAATCACTGGGTATAGTTTTATGTGGAACCATTATATTTATCTCTGCCATTTAAATGCTAAAAGCCTTTATATGTCTATGCAGATGCATACAACTATACATACAATGTTATTTTTGTATTTCAATTTTGATGAGTCACTTAAGATCAATCTGTGGTCTAATTTTTCCCTTGTCAATCTTAATCTTTTTGACATTATTATCCGTGATTGTCTTTCTTGGCTTTGCCGTTGGTATTGCTTTTTAACTAATCCACCTTTCTACAAGCTTCTACTATGTTCTGAAAATAGTTATACTATTCAATGAGATAAAATCTCAAAATGTCAAAGCTGTTTTCTGATTATTCTTGGTATGTTGCTGAAATACTGTTTAAAGTTGATATTTGGGAATAGAAAATTGGCTAATATCAACTTTCTAAGATTACCAAATCTAAGAATATAGCTGACCCCAAACTTATATAAAAAAATATAGCTCACCCCAACAAATTTTGCACTTGAGGCGTAGATGATTGCTAGATTGACCAGATGTATGGGTAACTTGATTTTTTTTGAATGTCTCTAGCAAAAACGAGTTTCCGCAGTTAAGATTTTCTAGCCTTGCAGAGTATCTAATTTTTTGCAAATAGAAAATGATTCCATATAAAGGTGATGAAGAACTAACTACTTCTGCCTATCAACAAGTAAACCATGTCAATTTGCTGGCTTTACATTAGCTTTAGGGTCAATTATTTTGGCTTAACACAGTGTAGAACTTGTATAGAAGAAACCAGTAGCTTATTGAATAAAGTAGTGCAAGCAATCTGATGGTGAATGTAACTATTGATTTGATAGGTCTTTTTCCATTAATCCTCTTACTTTTCTGCTTTTAGAGATTTTCAAACTGTTCTGTTGTCTATTTGTTCTACTTTTCGACAAGAAATGGATCTCTACTTGTAAGCTCAGTTGCTGTTCTTTACGTGCAGATCAAATTGTTGAAAATTCTGGCATTACTGGGAAGCAGCGACAAAAAAGCCAGTGAACAAATGTATACTATTGTTGGTGACATTATGAGAAAAAGCGATTCAACCAGTAATATAGGAAATGCTATTCTATATGAGTGCATATGTTGTGTTTCCTCAATACATCCTAACCCCAAAGTATTAGAATCTGCGGCAGAAGCAGTTGCCAAATTTTTGAAGGTTTGTCTTCTTTATCCTCCTGCGTGTATCTTTTTGTTGCCGTGCCTCTTACTTTTTCTATGTTAGAAGCTAATTTCTTTCAATATTATCTGGTGCACAGAATGATAGCCATAATCTAAAGTACTTGGGGATTGATGCGCTTGGTAGATTGATAAAGATAAGTGCAGAAATTGCTGAGCAGCACCAACTAGCAGTGATTGATTGTTTAGAGGTTGGAAATGTTACTTCTCAGGTTTCTTCTAAACAAATGATATTTCAATTTATGGAGCCATCACAATGTTGGCTTTCCTTTCTGTTTATGGCTGCAATACATAGCTAGAATATTCAGCTATTTTATTTCAGCAATGCAGCACCTTTATTTGTGTTTTGCTCGTTTTTTCCAAACTGTAGCTGGTTATTGCATCGAATTTATTGTGCATTGCAAGATCAGGAGAACTCCAACATAATTTGATTGAAATGTGTGACCCTAGTCTTCTGAACCATGCCATATCAAACATAATAAAAGTTGTAAGCATTTCGGTTGTTCTCAATCAACAATGGGTTGGTATTAGCACTATTTCCAAGAAGAAAAAATGAAAAGAAAAGAGACTGATTTTGTTTTTTAACAATAAAAAATTAGCCTCTTTCCCTTCTTCTCTTCCTTTTTGGACATATTGGTTAATTCAAAGAAGATCAAGTTGATGCCACCAGAAGAGTCAATGAACCAGGTAGGTGAATTCCTCCAAATAGAATGGAGCCTCTTGCCCCCCACCCCCCACCCCCAAATGCTTCTTATTACCTTCATTGATGAAAAACCTGGAAAACTTTTGATCATTTTTATGGAGTGCCCAATTATATTGAGTACTAGTATTGTCTTACTTCCCAAGTTGAATCAAAAGCCGAAGACATATAACTTTGTTGACTTTGCTTCTTTCCTTTCTTATGCAGTTGAAACCAAATTTTCTTCTGAAGGTCTAAAATTTGGACTATTTGGTTAACACCCGTAACCACTCTCTAGCCACATTTCATTAGAATTTTTTGGGTGAAATTAACCATTTTCTTGAGCAAGCCTTGGCACCTTTAATTTAACTTTAAGTTTTTTTTTGGTTCTTCTTGCAAGGCTAGAATAAAGAAACTCTAAGCTAGCGTTTGGACATAGATTTGATTGAAACTTGAAAAAAGAGTTTTTGAAGTTGTGTTGAAATATAATTTTTGAAAGTTGAAGTTGTGTTTGGGCCGAGGGTCTATTGGAAACTGCCTCTCTACCTGCATTAGGTAGGGGTAAGGTCTGCGTACAGACTGAAAGTACAAGGGGGGGTGAATTGTAAATATTTAAACTTAATCGCTTATTAGTTGACTAATTAATTGAGTAGTCGACTAGATATGATAATTCAACAGATATAGTAAAAGAAAGTAAATTGCAGAAAGTAAATGCAGGAATTAAAGACACCAGGATTTTATACTGGTTCGGATTCAATGTGAATCCTAGTCCAGTCCCCTTGGGTTGCAAGGGAGTTCTCTTTTAGTAAATGTGTTTCTCCGAGTACAATTGTAGTGAATTTGCACGCAGTTTCTCTAGCACTCGTTTTTGATACATTGCCTCACCAGTGTTATGCTCTCTTTCTTTCCCTGACTTGTTACACAACAGATCTTAGTGAAC